AATGTCGTGTATTCATTTGGCCATCCTCAACTCTCGCCCAACCTAATAGAAATTTCTCCAGAATGAGATGTCAAGGTAGGTGGTGGCTCGGCTTGCGCAGCACATGTCCAAGTCATCTCAATAGACCAAGGTTTACAACCTTATCAGTTGACCTTCGTATCTAGCCTAGCACCCTTTGCCTGACCTCAATATTGCTCACCCGGTGATTCCATCAACCACGAGTAATGCTATGAAGACAGCTGTGATCAAAACACTGTAATCGTTTCACATATTCTAATTCCAATGGCCATATCTCACAGCCATATAGCGGACGGAACAGACGGCAGCGCAGTTTATTCGACCTTTGATAGATTGTCAGATATCTCACCAGTCGGGGACAGAGATGACGCAAGCTGGCAAATGCCGAACGGACCTTCTGTATCCGACGTGATATTTCGTCAGCAACTAACCCGTTCGAGCCGATGCAACTCCCCCAAGTATTTGAAGTGGTCCGTATACTCCCCCTTCATTCCCTACCACTAAACTGATATCACTTGCAGCAAACCAGTCCTGAGGCATCATCTTACATTTGATAGGTGCCAGCGAAACGCATGCCAAACATACTTAGGTTTCTGCTCAATGTGTCTAGATGACCCTGAATTTCATCAGGGTCTTCAACTAGCAGGACTATATCTTCTGTATACTCCAAGTCAGCCGGATGACCTCTAGGGAGTTGGTCAATCTCTGTAAAGTTAGACCTATCTGAGGTTATTTTCACCAATACGTCCATGAAGAATTTAAATTGGAACGACGACAGCGGGCATCCCTGGCAAACATCACCAGTTATGGTCATTTCAGATGGAAACTCTCTATAAGCCTTGAAACGGCTTCGTTAGTTCGAGTAGAGAGCTTTTATTAGCGTTATATGCCTTCTCGATAATTCCTTCATAGTCAGACACTGCCAAAACACCTCATGGTCGACAGAGTGAACTATGGCCTTCAGGTTAAAAAATACGGCAAGTGCCGATTGCCGGTAAGAAGTGTATATGTATTTCATAGCCTGTCAGGGGGTGAAAATATGATCAGCGTATTCTCGTGCAGTTTTGAAATCGTCCTGCATCGGATAACTCTAAACCCTAGGGATGTGGACACTATATTAATCCAACCACTTCCCTATGTTTGTCACAGGAAGATGCCTCCCCCGTTTTACTGATTTATATGATCAGTGAAGTACGCCAGCACGAAATACCGCACTTCCTCTGATTCTCATCAACCGCGCAGCACCTCCATAATTTTAAGTAGCCATTTCCTACCTCCATCCTTGAAGGCTTTGGGCGACCAAATGTTAGGTCCAACTGTTTTTCTTTGTTTCAGGTGCGATAAAGCTTTCTCAACTCCAAGAAGAGTTGAAGGACCAACATCTACATCTTATTCAGCTTCAGGCTGAATGTTGGGAAACTGAAGCGTTGGTTAGAGCCAGCTGAAATGTGCTTGAAAATGTCCTTCCCAAAGTCCAAGCTGCTGTCCTGAGAGGTCATCAGCTTCCCATCATCCACACTGATGGTTTAAGTCACCATCGTCTTCGTCTTGACGCTATCTTTAATAAGCCTAAATAGCTGCCGCGTGTTACCTAACGATGATACCTCCTTCATCTGTCCTGCTGTCACCACCCACCAATGATCACGATAATTGTGGAAACTCATGATCAGCTTACATTTAAGTCGCTTTCGTTCTTCATCGGGGTCAAGTCAGTCATATCGCATCAATCAGTTCGGATGATCTCGCAGAAATCTAGTGACATTTGCTAGCCATCAGGTGTAGGTTACAAGTTGTCTTCACCGCTGTTTCGACGGCAAAGATAATGTTACGTCAGGTTTCCTTAGGATGCACATTGGTGTCTTGTTTAGCTAAATGTTCACCTGTCTCCTCTCTAAAAGCTTACTTGACTTTCTCATCTTCCATTCGATCATACCCAAGCTATCCTATCACCCGTTACCGGTGGCCAGATAGGTGCAGACGTACACGAGTCCGTACAAGCGCGTCATCAGAGTCCAAACTGGTACTCCATAGTGAGCGACCATCCTCCACCGATCCTCTTAAAAATGGCTTGTAGCAATGTGATCCGTCCACGTACATAGTTAGTGTGAAATCGGCGGACACAATATGAGTCAGTGTCTGTTCTCATATCTAACGTTAGTGCTAGCCAGAAACAAGTCTAGGTCAGGACGAAATTACAGGAGACGATCATTTTTGTCGGTTCGTTGGCATGATATTCCGTTAATGTATCCCAGATGCCTTTCCAAGTGGTTCAACACCCCTCCTTGGGCGTTAAAGTCACCTACCGTCATAACTACGTCTAAAAGTTTTGCATTCTCTAACGGAATTGACAGCTTCTCGTAGAATTAATTTTTTTCACCGTCTGAACTGCGTAAGTGAAGATTAAGAACAGGCATTAGTTGGTCTCACGATCCTTCCAACTCCTTACAGATCTATTCGGTCAAACGCCAGATCGATGGCTGTTTGCCGGCATGCAGTCGAGAAACGCACTTTCTGCCCTACAGCTCAATGCTACGCTTTCACCAGCGAATCAATAAGAGCTAGCCATGGGTCTCCGAAAAATCTTAAGGTGAAATTTTAAGTTTCACTACTATGATATCGATTTAATAACCACAATTGGATCCTGTTACTTTTCTTGGAGACACAACATATGTCCACAGCCAGCAATTCGATCGAACCATGTGAGCGAATTGCTTCTAACATTGAGTGGGATGTATCTCAGTGTTAAACTGATAATGAAATAAGAAGCTTATGACATCTCACATCTCTAGACTTAGATATCACATATAAAAATGACAGATTTAAGACATTTATCGAATCATTGAAAAGATTTCAAAATGTTTACAGCTTTCGTCGGATCATCTGAAAAGCCTGTTGTTGACGACACTACTCCATAGATTCAATAAAACCTCTTCGACATAGGAACTTGAAGAAGGATGATGTTTTCATTCAGCAATGTCATGAAGAAAAGCTCATCAAAGACTATGAGAACAAGAGTTACCTCTGATTTTAATAGGTCAATCTGAGAAGAAGCAATCATGTGTATCACATGTATTTAGGTGATATCAGTTCATAAATATGAATATTAGACGAATGAGAGTTCTTATACACCGCATTTTTGCTAAAATAAAGCTTATTGCCTTTTGTATGACTCAGTATATTCAGTGAGGCAATAAAAGAAGGCATGTTATTACCTCACGTCGCCTTTAGTTGCATTCACCAGCCGAAATTACCTTTGTAAAGCAGCCGAATTTAGAGGAAGAAAATAGCTGTTGTCACTCGCTTCTTTGAAGATCTCTGACATAATCTACACATGAAGGGATCAAACAGGTCCTTTGTACGCCACTGTTTGAATGTGGGGTATATGAATGACATCAAATCAACTTAGAACTAGTAAACAGTGACTGTCAATACCTGAGTGTTAAAATTTGACCTACACATCAAAAAATAACATTGTTTGTTTTCACTTGCTTCGATAGAAGAGTTTATTAGCGTTCTTTTTATTTTTCCTAAGTGAGATTGAAGTTTTTTGATCTTGAGTTACAAACCTCTTCCTCATCTTACTGGTATGTTCACTTAAGCTTTCCAATGTCTTACGCACCGTTAAACATATTGACGATAACTCCAATAATTTTTGCGTATAACAGATTATTTTAGCATAACTGTATTGTACTTTTGTGCTTTTATCTCATGTATACTTTTTCTTCTGGATGTAGATGAACTTATAAATTTCTGGTAGTTAACCCTTATAAGCTTGTATATAATTTACAAACAATATATACAAATGCAATGCCATCATTCTCTTGGTGTGCTCAGCTTCGTGAACAAGATGCATAGAATTACTGAGAAACCCTGCGATATGATATTCCATGACACTTTTTCAACTCCTTGGATATGAAACCTAATGCCAATTACGCAGTTATTTCAATTTCTTTACATGTGCTGATGAATATAAGTAGTTACTTCTCTTGAAAAATTTCGACGAAACCATTAGTAGATTTCTTTCATGATCGAAAATATGACTGGTTTCCTGGTTTGAAAAACTTTCGTTATTTCTGTCCAGAAATTATTTGTCTTCATTGTATACAATATCGGCCTCATTAAATAGACTTTAATATTTATGAATAAACTGGAACTTCTATGAAGTTCCCATTGTTCTTCGTGTTCTAATCAACTCCACACTATTTGTAGAAGAATATTCATCTTTGGACACTTGTTTTGTGCTGTCTGACACTCTTGAGCAAGAAGCATCTGCAGTCTCGACAGAACTGATGTTACGCCTGTAATTCGAATCCACATCACCCAGTACTGCAGTCAAAGACGTTACCACTGAGGTATTCGGGACTGAGTTAGATAAATGGATTGGTCACTGGAAGGTGAGCAGTTTCATGTGGCCTAGTCTTTAGGGTCGACCGAGCTCTATCAATCCTTTTGCGACATGGTCAGGAGACTCACCATCGCGAAGCACCGAGAGAGATACTAGTTGGATGGAGGCAATCGTCAATTGTTCAACTTTGAAATTTAGAACGTTTCTGTCAACGCATGTGTATCTGTTGATGGTTCTATCTACTGTCTGACACTCAAATCAACTTTGGTTTCATAAGATGTGACGAGACAATTATAAAGGGTTTTTTTTAGAAACGAGAGAATAGACTGCCATTTCATTTGACCTATAAAATGATGCCCTACAAAAAAAGGTATTTTCTGCCTAGAGTGAAAATGCTTACACTTAGTGGAACGCACACAATACTCAAATTAAAAACCGTCTCGGTTTTGAAGATAAGAATAGTTTCAAATATCCCTCAGTCTTTATTGTGTGAACTATTAAACTGAATTAGTTACTTGATGCTAAAGTCTTTTATAATTTAAGCAGCCTCTTTTCTTCATTTTGATTTCTGTTCTAGCGTTAGAAAATTGAAAAAATTGTGTTAAGAGCTATGAAACAGGTTCAAAATGCCAACTTTTTAATGTGTTTCAGATTGAGCAAGTACATCGTCCGTTCCATCTGGTACTACATGTTCACTTCCACCTTTCGTGAATTAGATCTTTGTAAGCGTTTTTTTTACTTATGTTTGAAGAACTAATTTCCGTTACAGAAGTGTTTGGCTTCATAATAAAAGTATTTTGTATGTTTAGGTGAATCGTTTAGTAAGCTAATTTTATACCACATGAAAACCTCAATGATTCACTTCTGAATAAAAAAATTTTTCTTTAAAACATATCATACTGTTCATTTCAAATCACAAGTAATTAGCTGTTTGATAACGCCATAAACGTTTGTTAAATTAAAAATATTTTTCTGAAGTTATTCTACTAATAGTCATTAGTAGCATGGTATTGCCTCATGCTGCCAAGAAATTTGTTATATAAACTGTTGAGTGAAAGTATTTCAATTTCGCAAAATTCAGTAACTCTACAAACATGCATTCATGGTAATATTGGATATCATTAGCTGACGATTCAACGAATAAATCAGTTCTAGATAATCTTCATAGTTTTTTTTCATAAATGTTCAGTCAAAAGCAATAACACATTATGTTCAAGGCGATAAGATTAATACTAACTGAGTTGTTCAGTAGTCAGACTTTTGTAGGTAACTCATAATAGACTAAACAACACTACGAATCAATCACAGAACACGAAATAAGTTTAATACATGAATCAAGCTTCCACTGAAGATGAATGTACCATACAAAACGTATCTATTTCTTAATAGCTTTGTTGGCAGGCTAAAATTGGCTGAAGTACATATAACCAATAGGACCTATAAGAAAGCTGATTCGTTCTAGATCCAGTATATATGGATGAATAAAGGTAACTTAAAAAGACGGCAGATGAGGATTATTTTCTGCATATTTTCTAATCCTAATGTGAACGCTTTGCATCAATATAGACAGACTTACTTTTCTTTTTTTGATAGTGAGATGAGAAGTGAGCATAAATTTACCCTATTAGCTCTAAGTAGCAGTCATCTTAGGTTATAAGGCTTTCTATAATGTCTCTATGTACGCTTTTTTGATTTTGGGTACAATACGATTAACAAAGAATATCAACATATATATATATATATATATATATATATATATACATATATGTATTTGTAAACTTACCTAAAACAATTGCCAGAGTTTTGGTAGCCTTCTTTTCTCGTTTAGCAGCAACACTATCTCTAAGAGTCATATTATTTCCACATTTATTTGTAAAAGAATAAGTTAAATTTAATATGCTACCAGGTGAACTCATATCAGCAAGTGATTGTTCAGTTGTTGTAATTCTAGACTTGGTATCAATTTTACTTTTGCAAAAATACTTTGGTTTCCTCATAAAATGCTGGTTTATTTTTCGAGGAAGTAACTTAGAAAAATCACTTGTAGCAAGTGATTTGATGCTGTCAATTTTTTTTCTTCCAGGCGATGAAAATAAACGTGATGTTCTTCCAGATGTTCTCTTTGATTCACTGTCTGTATTCAATGCGTATACTTGTTTACTTGATAAACCAGTGAATGTATTTGTTGATAATAAGGATAAACTGCTACGTTTTGCTTGTTTTATACGATTTTTTAAATGTTTTCGAAAATCATCCATATTTTTGAATTCCATTTGAGAAGTTTGTGCTTCATAAACTTCAGTAGTCTTCATATTTAAGTTCCTTGTAACTCTTGGCAATGAATCGGGTGACTTTAATGGAGATTCAAAAGAATTTACTATGCACTCAGAATTGACTATTGTTAAAGTAGGATGAGATTTGTTGAATTCTTTAAGATCAGGTAAATCTACTACTGTTCTAGAAGATGAGGAAGGTGAATGATTACTGGAGGCTACTGGAGAGTCACTTTTATCTTCATTTTGATCCATGACATCATTCACTGTGTTGGCATAATGATTCTCTGTACAGAATGATAAATTTGTTATCCTACTAGTATCAGCATATGAACCTATACCACTGGATAGACAGTCAAATGTTTGAGGATTGAATACTGTTAAATATGTCATATTTTCTGGAACATAGTTTTTATGCAGGAAATTTTCATTTTTTGAAACAGTGCACGTTTGTCTAGGAGTTTTATGATATTTTGTATAATTTTGTGCTTGATTCTTATACTAATAAGCTTGGATCGTTGAGTTCTTGAACGGATTGCCTTGAATACTTGATAATATAATACAATCATTATTGTACATGGTACATAAAATGAACCGATTGAAGAAGCAATTATATATTCTGGAATATACATGACACATATTTCTAATTTTCGATAAGGCGCATTATTCAATCCACATGCTATTGGCAATGCAATCAAAAATGACAATAACCATGTCATAGCAACAGTGATACCAACGCGTACATTTTTGCTGTGTTGAGCGTAGGTTATTGGTCGTGTCACAGCCACATATCTACAAAGAAGAGTGTAAAGAAAATTATGAACCTCATTTAGTGGATAGATTTCTTTGTTGAATAACTAAAAATCTAATGTGAAGGTTTGAAGAAGTTGTTGATTACAAGTTATAATAACTGCAGCAAAAAAACACGTTAGTGCCTTGAAGGCATACAGGAGTATCAAGACGAAAGTAGACGCGGAAATCTAAATCTTGAAAATACATTCAACTTTCTCCTCGAGTAAAAGTCACAGAAATCACCCAGTAGGTTTTTCGTCAGTGCAGTTATCATCGTGCAATTGAATATTACAAAGATGTGTCATAGGTTCTGTGAAAGTAGGCTCTCATTGTAGTAGTCAATTCAAAGAATCCCCAAACGAATAATCAAACTTTTCCTTTATTAGTTTGAATATTTAGTAATTTGATTGATATTCGCATTGGCATATAAACGCGATGATAAATATAGGTCAATAAAAAGTGGTACACGTTGTACAAGTGGTTCATCTCATGTCCTAGTGGCCAAGTGGATCACGCTTTGGCGTTTAAGGGGATTGATACTGGGTTCAAATCTCAATAGGAATGAAATCACTCACTTGGATTCAGGTACATCCATTTGACAAGCCTCAAACAGGACGAAAAGCGCATCCTGGATCCCTCTGCTAGCTAACAAGTAGAATACCCTATATGAATGATATGTTTGTTCATTTTCTAACCAGATTGGGTTGGCAAATATTTAGGCTACATGTTTCAATACTGCTATGATTCGGATTTCTGTTTACAATCAGTTATCATTTTAAATCAATTGGAGTGATATGCAGCAAACTCAAGATAGTCAAAGAAGATTTTGCTTATCCTAAAACCCCTAGCATATGCTTAGTTTATGGTCTCTTCACAGTGATACCCGGATGTTAGCATAGTATAGTAGACAATCAGCTATTTCTGTAAGAAAATAATCGAATGAATAGGCGGAAAGATATGAAATGATGTTAGAACTGTTTTACTTGATAGGGTCACATTGATGTTCATGTTTATACACGGGTGTAACTGTCAAAGCTTGTCATAAGTAATCAAATTTCCAGAACACTACCAAACCTATTATCACGTACATTGTTGCAATTTTATTGTTTTCAAGAGCCTGATAAAATGTATTTGCAAAGCGTGGCATTAGATCTCAAAAAGGTGCGTCATTCTGTCACCTAATAACTAGCTTTTTTGTTGTTTAGGGACAAAATTGTATTATTGAAGTATTTCAGTGTTCTGAGTAGGGCTTTGTCAAAATTTAATAATTTTTATCCGTATCACCTTGAAGGGACTAAAAATTGCTCTGGATTCTGGCTGGTTGGTTTCAGGGAAAACAAGTCATGTACGGATCAGATTGCAACCCAACACTACGCTACGCATCATCATAGAACAGAGAATAGAATAGAATGGCAGTCAACTCAACTCAACCTCAACTTCATCGACTTCGAAAAGGCCTTCAACAGCGTCGACCAAGGAGCAATTTGGAAACTGTTTCAACACCACAGTTTTAGTTCCACAAACTTTTATCAAACTCATTCAACAGCAATATGATGATGACGATGCTACAAGTGAAGTGATTCACAACGGAAAGGTCAGTGACGCCTTGAAGTGGAAGTGAAGACAGGAGTAAGACAAGTTCGCCGCTTACCATCACAGATCATCTTCCTGACTGTTGTCGACTCGACTAGACTGGACTGACTGCACTGGATCATGCAATAGACAACTGTGAGGAGCCATGAGAAGATGGGCATGCGATGGCCGATGAAAAGACCCTAGAAGATTTGGATTTCGTTGTTGATGATTTGTGTCTAATGTCTTGTGGCATAAACTCGAAGATCTACAGGCGAAAACAAACAAGTTGACAGAAGAGGCGAGGCATCGCAGCAAAGACGGAACTTCCTTCAGCTGAACGTAGGGAAGACGGGGGTGATGAAGATACCCAACCAACAACAACATTAAAGACCAATCGCAATCAACGGGAGAAATCTGAACGAAGTATTATCTTTCATCTGCCTAGTCAGCGTTGCTTCAGCTACAGGTGGCGGCGGTGGTACAGATGAGGATATTGAAGCAACCAGGATCGAACAGACAGCAAGACAGGCCTTTCTTCATTAATCTGAAATCAGTGCGGAGATCTACAGCACTCAGCATTAAAGCGTGAACAAGACCCAGATTTTCAACATTAAATCAGTCAAGTCAGTTTTTCAATGTGATGATTGAGAGACTTGGAGGTGCTTTAGGAAAAACATTTACAACAAACTACACACATCCATCAACAGCTACTACCTACACTCACTCGATAGTGACACTGAAGATCGGATGGATTGCCAGAATAATGAGAATAAGCAAGAAGGAAGGAACTGTGGCTGGCGTGCCAACGAACCAACTAACAACCTATCGGTCAACAAATATACATGAGAAGAGAGTGGGGAAGGACTGGGTTGGACATAGACTGAGAAAGACGACGGTTTGGGGATATCACGCACCTGGCCAGGCCAGGCCATCGAGTGTAAGTCAGATAGGAAACGACTAGTTGGGTTTACAGGGCGAGGGTGATATGGAGGAGATTGTGTGAGGAAGAAATGAAAGGTTATGAGTAGTGGTTGAACCGGGTTGAGAAGATTGCAAAGAAGAGTGTGAAATGGTGACATGCTACTGAAGCCGTATGTTTCACTAGGAACCTAAGGGACAAATAGTTTCAAATAATAATCCATTTACCTAGATGCTTAGATGTTACAGCAAAGGAGCCGATCTCAGATATATCAAAAGCAAGGTGTGCTTACTGAAAGAGAAGGATGACTGTGTTCTTCACTTGTAATATTTTCCCAGGAGTTTGAGTGGATTTTTAAAATATCTATTTAAATCTCCTTCTGTCCTTAACACAAAACCTTAGCAATCAGTATCTTTATTCCATTTTTTCATCCACCTGTTTAATATGCTCTCTCTCTCTTTGATTTGCCATTAACTGAAGATCTTCGATCTGTTTTCAGACTTCATAACAGTGTAAATTTTTGGGTTTGTCAGCTTACTATTCAGTTAATGGGTTGAAATTCAATACATCACAGGATGCAATCTGACTATTATTCAGGGCGTCAGTGAGTATCTTTTTCACACCCGAACTCCATAGGGGTCATTAAGACCTAAGGAAATCCACCTCGAGGTACATTTTCTTTTGCATGTGACCTACTAATCTTGGTGTATTGTCTTTTTCTACTTCAAAATATGTGGTCTCATTTCATTTACTGACTTTAGTCACTAATTCAGGTATATTTATTGATCCTACCTGTAAACAGAAGTTAAGAACCAACCAAGCATAACCCTTGCCACCTGACCATAATGCCACTACCTGTTCAAGAAAGTATTTTTTTGCAATACAAAGGTATATCGATAAACCCATTTCATCCTTTTTATATTGAAGAACTTATAAACTAGGCATCTACTCAAATATTTGGGGGGGGGGGAAGGAGTTAACTTCCATTCTAGTTGCTCTCCATTTTTGTTCCCACTTTTTAAATTTGATGAATAATATTCAACGACTTTATCCGAATATAAGTGAAATTCGCATGTAATAACAGTAAATTACTAAACTCATTGTCATCTCAAGATTTAGCGTCTCTAGTGTTTAATGAATAGTAATATTTTTGCCTGATATACTTGTTCCCAGTATACTTTGTTACTTTGGAAACAATTCAAAGATGTTTCACCTTGTTATCTATCCTTGTTATCCTTGTGACTGTAATGTAAGGTAAACAGTAAAATCCTTCAGGAACTATCATAAAATTGTTGTATTTTTAAAGTCTTTAGTCGAGGAAGCAGTTATTGTCCATCGGAAATTCAAAAAATACAAAACTTCATAAAGCAGCATTATGATAGTTGTATTTGTAAGCTTCTGATTGGCTAATAGTTAAACGTTTGTGGGAAATTTAAAGTCGTATTAAGAGTTACTCCACGTTTCAACTACAAGTCGCTTGAAGCTTTCAAGGGAACATTATTTTTCAATAAACGTCTTACATAGACTTTCGTTCAACCTCATTCAGTTTTATTCATTATTTCCCACTGTATGCTTTTATTAGGTTAATATAGAGATTGTTAAATGTTTGTTTTTGAAACCTGTAACCACTTTCGTTAGTTTGACTTGAGTAGAAGTATTCAAAATAATAAAGATAAAAATAGTTTAGATACTTTAACATATGGTTAGTTTGTTTTTAAAATGAACTAAAAGAAATCATTAAAGCCACAACTAGGAGCTATGTTATCGAATGGGACTTTAATAGTGAGACTATAAGTTCGAAAGTATCCTAGCCAACAATGGACTATATGGTTTGGAATCATTTGGACACCGAATAAGTATGATTCATCGTATCCATTGTATTTTGTTTGTGTAACCCCAGGGTAGCATATTATTTGTTCTAATATACTATGCCTGAACTACACAAGTATAATACACTTTATAAAATGAATATGATCATAACTACTAGGAAAATAAATTCGAGTTGTTTAACCTGATGAGGATAAGAGATGACTTGTTATTTAAAAAGTATGGAGTATCATCTTTAGGTCAAATGAGAAGTGATCAATTTTTCCAGGATGTACTTTTCAAATTTAGGTTATGACTAACAATACATTGTACTATTGAAAACATTTATCCTACTTTTTTTCCAATGCATTTTCCTTCATGTCTAAAAAAGATATTAAATGAAATATTTACTAAAAAGGCTTGTTAGTTTGTCGTTTGTATTATCCTGTGTTTGATTGAAACGGAGTGATCAGTCTTTATTGGCACAGGGATTCCTATAAGGATGTTTCAATATTGCTTTTTGTTCCGATTTTATAACATTAATGGATAAAAGCTAGCAGTAAAATCCAGGAGTTTGCTTTCCTTCTGCTTTCGATTCGTCAGTTGAATATACCTTCCACCCAGTGAATGATCTTGTTTCACTAACACTCAAACCCTGGAATAGATTTTTGTGGCTCAGTGGATTACGAATTGGTGTTTGAGGCCATTGGTCCTTGGTTCAACTCTTGGTGGGACTACCAGTAATCACTGGGAAGTAGATACATCCAGCTGACGAATCTTAAATAAGAAGACTCCTGAGTCCTGGATTCCACTGCTAGCTACTATCCATCATTGCAGTAAATTTGTTTATCTTTTCTCCATGAACCGTATCATATTTCCAGTCTTAATAGGTCTAAAAAAGTAAAACAAATGAATACAACGATCACGAAAAACTGAACAACACAGAAGTGACTTCGCTTTTGACTATGAAGCCACTTAATTTCATGAAAAAAATTTTTATTACTCTCAAAGTTAGGTAAATAATAAGTAAAAGAAAATATTTGTAGCTCAATATTTTAATATTCTGAAGATAATGTTCCCATAGTTTACATAGTCTAAAAGTAGACCTTTCAGTGAAACGTTGGTTACCATCGCAATATTTCTGAAGGTAGCAATCTTCTTCAGTCTTCATGTAAGCCAATCAAACTTTAAATCTTGATCTGCTAGCTTTTTCCTCCAACTGGCAAGCTAAACATTTTCATGTATTTCGGTTGCTCAATACTTGTAATCTGGGTTGTTGACATGTTTCTTTTCTAATTCCTTAGCTAGTTCCTATTTGTTAAGATTAACCGATTATGACGAACTGGATGAAACTGTATTGTAAACTATCAGTTATCAAGTTAATAGGATGTAATTACCTATTTCCTTGTTAGCATAGAGTTGTAGTTAAACGTGAATTACTTTTATTCAGATAAATAACTCTAAAGTTGTAATATATGGTGTTAGAACTGAAATTAATGCCTTGTGCATTAAGCTGCTGCTTTTGCTGGGAGACATTGGTAGATGTTAACTTTTCGATACTCCAGAACAACAATTACTAATTAAAGCAACTCATGCTACCTTCAATGACTTAAACTGTTGAATTTGGATACTTTTAGGGTTTGGATTTAGACCCACTTACTGTAGAAATCTGATTACAAACTCGTATCCACACAGCTGCTATGTTCGCTAGTAACTATTGATTGAAGTTCATTCATGTTTTCAGCTTGCTCCTTAAGTGATTTTCTAGGCTTTTTCCTTAGCTGATAGACGGTACCATAGACTTGAAGGAATAACGTCCCACAGTATTCATCAAATACAACTTGACAGTAAAATAGTTGTATATTAGATATAGTTGTTCAATGTTTCAGTCTTGTTGGGACTTGAGATTTCGATCTTTATTTTCTCGATAATTTTTGCTGATTTTTCAACTTTTTTTTCTAATGTATGAAGGCTCAGAATTTGTTGGTTTATTTATTTTAAGTATGCGCAGAATTCTGCTATATATATCATCATTCAGTTACTATAATTTCAAGAAGTCCACTGGGAATCTGAAAAATGCCTTCCTGAATACTTCAAAAATTTAACAGGTATACATGATAGTGCGCTTCAGATGGCCTGGACATGTACTGCACATGTCGAGCCACTGCTTGCCTCGATGTGTCACGCTATGAGGAATTAGATTGGGCTGGATGATGGTTTAAGATAACCAGACCAAGACGTGGCACCAGTCCGTGAGTTACCCGACTATTGATGTGAACAGTGTGGGTTGATGTAAACCAACTGTTTGGGGACAACAAGATGAAAGGAATCAGTGGTTAGAGGTCATTGGTGACATAATTGAAAATCGGTTGCAATGCACAGAAGTATTCACTTTTTGACATCTAACGCTTGAATATTTGAGCGAACTGTTATCTTCAGATTGCTTATTGTCTTACACAAATTTGCCTACTTTGGTATCAGGACCTTTCTATCCACCTTTTCTTTGTATTTTACTGCAGAATGAGGCAAGTTGAACCGATGCACTTATGTGAGAGGTTCTACTTTGGCTTTTTCTATCTGTTTATCTGTCATAAGATTTAGGAACCATTTCGCCACAGTATCCGTGATATGTGGTTACAAAACAAGTGAGGTGTGTAGATTCAGTGCTATCTGTTAAGGATATTCACTCTACACTTTTATGTTTGATTTTATTATAAAAGATGCTTGCAAAAGTCTCTTTCCCCTTTCCTTTTTATCAATTGATAAAGTGCAGTAAACTTTAAGGACATAAACTGAAATAAATTATTCAATGTCATTATGCTCAATAAATTCTATTCAAAACGTCAACTTATAAATAGTAGTTCATTGCCTTGTCCCATATCAAGTAAATCAAACTTATGTAGGAATTTCAATGCAATAAGTGGATTAAATTAGGTTCAACTATATTTCCACTTTACGAGTTCTAAGCAAAGTCAACTAAGCAGTCAATAAACTATATGATGCTGCTGAAATCGGAGCTACAGTTTGTTATTGAAGTGAAAAGAAGCACATAACACTTACACCTACTGCTTACAAACTGTTGTTATTTGGTGATAGAAAACTAAAACACTGCCTCCTTGCGAGAAGGAATATTCACATACTGGGAAATATATCTTACCTATCCATGCTGATCGCTGCTAAATTTAAAATCGATGCCGTACATAAAAGCACATCGAACATGATAAATATATCGCACAATACAGTACCAAATCTCCATTTTCCATTGTCAGCCTATGAAATAGATGGAAAAATAGGAAACAAGGGTAAATGTAACACATAAAAGTTGTTAAAATTTTATAAAAAGAGGAAAAGCACTCACTAGGTTTGTGTTTACTCATGGAGTAGGTAATGAGCTGCATCCATTGTGTGAAAGTTAATGATACTACCTGTCTGCATGAACTCCAGTAGGTTGAGTGGTTTTTGAACTACCAAAGCCAATGAACCATTTCTGAAGGAAATAGATGGCCTTAGTAGATGCCTAACAATCAGTCGAAAGGATATCATGAGAAAAAGACAGCATGGTAGCATCAATACCTTAATTCTGTGATAGACCGGTCATGAAAATTTTTTATCTCTAATGATGGGTGAATTATCCCTAAAGCATCAGAGCAAATTATTTACGAAGCATGTTCTCTAAACAAATCAGGAATAGCACTATTTTAGCCTTTTAACTTCCACACAATTACACTCAATATGTTGTTGTTAAGGTACTTTAGTGTTATTGCCAGAGAGATGAATGAATGTTTAGTTGCCGTTCATCTCCCTGTAGTCTTCAGTCGCTTCTAAATCCATACATATTTAATGCACAAGAAAATACAATAAAAATGAAGCGTAACTAACCTCAACCCAGCTGGCTACCGGCATAACAACAATTGCCAAACTGATATCTGCAATAGCCAAACTGACGATAAAATAATTTGTAGCAGTGTGTAGACTCTGATCTCGAAATACACTCAGTACAACCAGAACATTACCGAAGACAGTGACCAATGGGAAAATAAGAAGCACCATCGCCCAATACTGAATAGTCTCTTCACTTGTTTGATAGGTTGCTAGCTGATGGGTTATATCCGAAGAATTGAAAATACCCAACCCTGAAGAAATTTCTAATTCTCGCAATTGACTTTGTGTCACTGCATAAGATGACCCTTTCACATAAAAGTCTGGTGGGCCATTTGGCCAGTCAATATCAGTGAGATGATGAATAACCAGTTTCTCTGTTTCAGAATACATTAAACCTTATGAGGTGGTACTGATGTCAATTACTAATATGCCAAGTGATCTTCATCCAGGGAACATAGCTGTTCAAGTGATCCTAAAAAAACATAATATTGGAAAAAAGAATCGCAAACGTAACAGTCAGCTTATAAATTTTACCGAAATTTTTCGCCTTTACCAACAATAACATGCTAACAGTGCAAAACTGTTTCAAGATGTTTCAGCATTCATTATTCAGAGTAAAGACTCTTGATCTAAAGCAGAATAACATGTGCCTAAAAGTGTGTTTTCTGTTACAGTATAATGATAACAGTCACTTTATTCTAAACAATATGTTCACTACCAGGACAATATATTCAGAAGAAATGATTACTGCAACCCAGTGATGTTAATAATAGCACTATAAAGGCAATATAAATGGACAGTTGGATTAGCTTCCTATCTAGAATGGAGCATGCACAGAGAATCGAAATTAAGTTTAATTGCAAAGGTTCATTTAGCCAGTACAAGAATCTGCCATTCGAGCTAAGCATTTGAAGAGTACACAATGAAAAGTCCATTTCCTTCGTTTTGTTATCTAATTGAGAAACAGCTAGCTGAAAAACAAAACTGTGCAAGAGAATATGGCACGTTAAGAAGACAGTTGAATGATTAAAACAAATTGAAAGCATAGAAACAGACGTATATATTTGGTGGAAAATGTTGGTAGCCCAATGTCAAAGCAGGCTGCTAGATTATGGGTTGAAAATTATGCAAATTGACAAAACTGGCTTCCTACCGAAAACTTCACAAAGTGCTTAACAAACTAATGTGGTGAAATTACTTGCTTTTCCAAGAGTAAAGAACGGTATCTTTATAGTTGCATTCGTGGTTTACCATGGGTTTTATTCATCAGTCGGATGTCTATGGCTTAATACACTATTAGTTATTTAATGACGAAATATCAGATTTAGAACAAAACATTTTGAAGGTAAACGCTTGCGTTTTTCGAAAGTATATAATACACAGATACTTCAAGTCCTCACATGCATAACAGTTTGTTCCAGAATATCAGTAATCGATCAACTTTGTGTCAAGGCGATGCTTTATGATCCAAGAATTCAGTGCATGCACTTATAGGTTTACAAGAATTAACAGATTTGTGGAAAGTACTTTAAGTTTCAAAAACGGAAAATATGACAGTTATGAAGATGACTAAGCAGCTTTATTCCTGAGCTCGATAGCTCCATGACCTCTCTCACTTTGAAAATACCAAAGCAGTTCATGAATAAAATTTTCGGTCTGCTCATTTCAAAGAATACACTTCAGAACGCAACTATAGATAACATTTATATCCTTAAAGCCCACGCATAGCATAAGCACTAAGACACCGACAAATAAGACGTCTTTCTTTTTTTATAAACAATTAGTAGTTGGTGAGTAAATATTCTTTCAAATGAATACCTTAAAAGCAGCGATTTAAAATAAGACCAAAGCTTAACAACCACTTGTTAAGCATACTGTGTTCAATAGATTTGAGGGGCGATATATCTAAACAATGGATGCGAGATTAGCATGGTAGAAGAATTTGGCCTTTTAACACACTGAAGTTGAGGTTTTCAGTCACAATACTTGATAGATATTCATTTACATAATGACTGTATAAAAAAAGTCATTTGGATGTTAGCATCCTTAATTCCGAGAGTTTTGTATGTTTCTCGATTTTATATCAACTGATATGAACCGTAAGCCATGTGAATCAAAGCCATTCCAAGGTATCATACAATAAGGCATATAATGACAATCAAGCGCTTTGTTCTTCTATGACTAGAATGCTAGAAAATAACTCAGACTGGTTGAGCTAAAGTAGGTAAAAATAATGTAAGTCGATGGGCGACAATAAATCAGTTGGTAAAATAGCTTATAGAAGACCTAATATATCAAAAGATCATTCCTTGTATTATCTCATCATCGTATGAACCAGATCAGCCGGTCTCTATTAGCATATGAGCTACTGTGTGAATGCCTCAATATTACCTGTATTTCAGTTTTATATTTATAACATGACATAACGTAAATTCTATAACCGTCACACAAGAGGTGGCTATTGTGACTTGGTGACGTAATGGATAACGCTGTGGCGTTTGAAGAGATCGGTTAGGGGCTTGAGCTATAGTAGGAACAATATCACTCACTGGGAGGTACATTAAACCACCTATGAGTCCTAAGTGGAACGAAAAGCGCAATGTGGTTCCTACTGCTAGCCATAATACATCATTATTATGAACGTATAGTTTATGATCTTTACTAGCTTTAAGATTTAATGATATTTTCGCGTAAAACTCAGTTGCATTATATAATTATACATTAATCAATGTCAGTATGATAAGCTGTAGTCAGCTGTTATGCTCAGAAAAAAGTGTAAACCATTGACGTAAACATACTTAAATGTAATATCTCATCGGTAATATTTTTTCTAAAAGTTTTCTTTTCGTTCGACTTTAACAATCCTTTTTTGATTAGCTTACATTTATCACACTTAGTTTAGCAATCATTTAATAACTTTATGCAAAATTCATTCTGTTTCATCTTTCTCCTTTGTATTTCAAGCGTGAAAAAAAGGATATTTGAATAGCGATAATAAAAGAAGACGTCAAGGAAAGCAATTAGTATATTACATTTTTTAAATTGCTTCTAGATTTAAGGAAGGATGTTTTATTCATCGAGTATTGTACATACAGATATACAAATTATGGTGTGAAAATTGAAGTGTATTTCTGTTTGTTAGATATTATTTTATAGTAAGAATACTTCCTAGTTCATCCACTTGGTTATACAGTAAAGAGGTGTATCTAACCTACGATCAGGCAACCGAATATGTAAGGTAATGGAAGTTGAAATGAAAGATTTCAGACGAAGGACAGCAAGCTTTTTCAATAACATCTTTAATAGAATGAGGTGGATATTACCACTGTTACCCTAATAACATGTAGTCCTGACAGCTTCTATAGAATAATATAAATGCTGTTTTGACATAATTCTTACCACTTGTTTCTGTATAATGTTTTATTATCGGCAACAGTTTCTGTTTGGCCAACGTACTTATTAGAGTATTTGACTGTTGTTGCTTATCCAGTATTTTTATAAATATTTTTCACTATCCATGACTTCACAGTTTGCTCGCAGTTAGAATACAAGTGTATACACAGTCATATGCAAACTGATATACTTGAAGGGCGTGAAGGACTTATTAATATACTCAGTGTTGAAATCAATGTTATACCTTGCGCTTTTTAATTCATAAAACTTTGACAGCATAATAAATGCTTTTCAGAGTTGTCAAGTCAGTGCTGCTATCTGGTTCAGAAACTTAGCGCGTCACAAAAAGCATTTTCAACAAACTACACACATTCATCAACAGCTACCACCTACACTCAATCGATAGTGACACTGAAGATCACATGGATTGTCAGAATAATAAGAATAAGCAACAAGGAACTCTGGCTGGCTTCCCAACGAACCAACCAACAACCCATCACCCAACATATATGTATGTGAAAGTGGAGATGGATTGTATTGGATTTGACATACACTGAGAAGACCGACTGGAAACATCATGTAACAGGCCGAGTGGAAGGTTGAGTGGAATCGAAAGGAGAAACGACAAGTTGTGTGTCCGAGTCGAGGGTGACATGGAGGAGATCATGTGAGGAAGAAATGAAAGTTTGTGGGTAGTCGTGGCGCCTGGTTGAAAAGACTCCAGAGAACAGAGTGAAACAATGATATTTACAAATTAAGTACATGTACAATGTGTAATTCGAAAACTAATTCCCATCTAACGGAACGCTTACAATATATCATAACTGGGGTAGGATGAGGTCACTATAGCTGCAGCATCCACTTTTTTTCTGAATAGACAATTCCAGTTGCTTCGTTCCATTCGCTACTGCCTTTGTAGTTCGGAGGATTCAAAAATAGTGTCTTTAGGTAAGCTGATGTGATGCCAGTATGAACTTGAGAAACACAAGTGGGTCCATCAAACCATTAGTGCTAAATAAGTAAATAAGTAAATATGGAGCTACCGTTGATCTTCATTACATCCTTGCCTAAATGTGTCGAGAGGTGTTCATGAGTACATTAGGATTAAAATAAAACTAGAAGGAAAAAATGATGCCACTTTAATTCCAGAATACTGTTCGGCTGCGTATAATCTAAAGGTGTATTGGTTATAAGGACATAAGACAAAACTAAGAGATTATCTACTTCAAGTTTTGTGACAAAATCACTGAAAATAAAAGAAAAATAATAGTGATAAATAAACAAAGAGCTATGTAATTAAAAAGGAAATGGAACAAGATCAAATCATATTTACCAAGGGATTGAGAGACAAACCACGCTCTCCTTCTGTATACAAAAGTCAGGTTGACTGCTTTTTATTGCAATTGCTTCCGTAAAATGCAGTAATCCAGACATTTTCTTTAAGTTAATTGTTTTAAAAGAACTTGATATTTCCACCTGATGTCCTGTGTCTGCAAAGTGTCTGGCAATCGCACTGGTAAGAATATTTCTCCCTCTGAAGCACAGACTCTTGAGTATATTCTCAGCTAACCGAGTGATCACTTTTTTCTTAGTCCTTCCAATGTAGTTGCTATTGAATGTGCATATTATTTCGTAAAAACAGTAAGAGGTGACATAAACAAGGCAATTATCTTATTCTGACTGGTTCAATGAGCAAGCATTATTGTATGCTGATAAAAGTTAACCTGCAGGAAAACTCCTTTTCAGTATTTCTTATGGTCTTACATCTATTGGCTTGAATACTGCCACTCCCTTAAAGTTTAATGAAAACCCTCTTTTCCACAATTCAGTGTTAATTTTTCTCAATCTGTTCCTGTTTATACTTCATGATAAATCTCTTAGAATATCCATTCTCTTTCGGATACTTCTCAATAAGGATCAGTTCTTTGTTTTACTTGTCAAGGGATCTAATTACATCGGATTTAATTCCCGGAGCACTAACCGATATAACAGATACA